CGAGCACCCAGTAAGGTCAACCACGGGGTGGCGTGGCAAGCACCACGTCCCCGGCCCCCTTTGTCTCCCCATCACACACGGTGTGTGTGTATGCATACACACACGGTGCGGTGTGTGTATACATACACACACCGCACCAGGCACTTCCTGTATACAGGCGTAAGGCTGAGTCGACCGAGGTAGGATTTGCCCAAGATTGGTTCATATCCCGGGTCGGATAGCGCTCGCCACTGATAATAGCCGTGACCGGGACTCTAAGTTGGGTCTCACTACCCCACGTACACACATGTACACACACACTGCCTGCACCAATACGATGAATGTGTAGTCGATTGTGTGTGTTCGTGTGGGGAGCGGTGGTGAAGCGGTTAGCGCGCTGCGCTACGAACCCGAAGACCCGAGTTCGATACCCGCTCACGAGCAACGCCGGTGACGATTATCTGAACCGGTTCTGGGACTTCCCCTAGGTCGACTCAGCCTCAAATGAGTACCTGCTGCGGTGTGTAAACATCGCGACTGGGGAGACAAAGGCGTCCCGGTGTGGTGCTGGCCACCCACCCCCTCGTGTGCCGTTGCGGCCTTCGTAGGTGCTCGTTAACAGCACTTGCCCCAACAGTCTGTTAAGGCTATACGGGGGACCTTTGTCTTTTGTCACGTGAACGTGAACGCGCGCTCGAGTAGAAATGATGTCGCTGATTGTCCACGCGCGCTCGGGGCGATTCTATCGGTCAAAACCTTTTCGGGAATAATGTTCTCCATAGAACAATTCTGGCGGAATTCACGAATAGGCCGTGCATTGGAATGGATACATTAATTGCCAGCGTAGCAGCTCACTGAGTCCCGGGGGGGGGGGGGGTCGATAAAATTGGTTCCATTTTGTGGGGAAGTCAACATGGTTATCTTTTAGATAAACCACCCCCAACCCTTGCCCGCCATATGAATGTGGAATTTCCACCACTGGCTTATGACTGCGAACGGGAGATGAGCTCACTTGTGCGGGGATAATCACTCTTGAGCATTCTTTCAGATTTCATAAACATTTCAATTGCAGTGCCGTGTGTGTGTGTGTGTATATGTTTACATGACGCCACTCTCGATACGCCGAGGAAGGGTCCCGAACGACGCGTCGCCCGTTGCGTTCCGCTTTCATTTGAAGGCCACACGCGCAGTGATTATTGTTGGCGGATTTCGTCGGAGTTTTATATTTTGTTACTTTGCACTTTATGCGCGGAGACGCTCAATGAGTTTCGGTTAAACAACGTCGGGTTTTTTTGTTGTTTTTATATTTGGTGTTGAACAGGGCCCCGGAGTTTATATGGAGTGCTCTTGCCAACAGCGTGGGCGACCGGGTTTAACAAGCATCGGCCCTGATGTTGATTGTATAACAACAACAACTATACTTGGACTACTACTACTACTCTACTGATGAGACCCAGCCGATCGAAACCAGTGTTTGAATTGATGGGCACGGGCGGAGTTTCAGAAGTTTACGATGATTATAAAAAATTGATTAATGCACCCTAGATTCCTAATGCGAGGGACAAAGCGAACCCCTGCCAACCCCCTCCACTGCACTCCGCCTCTGGTGCTGCTATAATGTTGGCGCGGTGAGTCGATAGGCCGATGGACTGGCGATGACTCACACAGACCGAGGTGTCGTCGTCGTCTTCCCTGTCACCCACAATGCTCCCGCACCGGCACCAACGACATTGTCGATCGCGATGGTTTAGCGACAAATAACGAAACGCGTTTTCAGTGTGTGTGTGTAGCTGGGGAGGGGGGGAGTTCCCCAGTGTTTAAAAAAAACTACGCTTGGCGTCGCGTCTCTAATAGTTGCTCGCTTGCGGCACTTGCCCCAGCAGTAAACGGCGTTACTGGGGGATCTTTGTCTTTGTTTCGTGTACAGTACCGTGCAATGATGCGTGAGTGCGCGCGTGCGTAAAAGGCGGAGCGGTCGTGCACCGGTCCTCGCGCGCTGCGCTACGAACCCACTCGCGCCCAACACGAGTGACGATTATTTGAATCGGTCCTGGGCCTCGCCCTAGGTCGACTCAGCCTCAAATCGAGGACCCGGTGCGGTGTGTAGTAAACATCGCTACTCGGGAGACGAAGGCTGCTGCTGCTGCTGGTCACCCACCCCCTCGTGTGCCGTACCCACCGTCATAGGTGCTACTCGCTAACAGCACTTTCCACAAAAGTAGTTGACGTCTATCGGGGGGATATGTGTGTGTGTTTGTCTTCAAGTGCATTAGCGCGTGTGTCTTGGGAGTGTAGCGGTCAGCGCGCTGCGCTACGAACCCGGCAACCCGAGTTCGATTCCCGCTCACGGCCAACACCAGTGACGATTATCTTAATCGGTCCTGGGCCTCCCCCTAGGTCGACTCGGCCTCAAATCAGTACCTAGTGCTGTGTGTACAAATCGCCACGAGGGAGACAAAGGCGGTCGCGCGTGGTGCTGGCCACCCACCCCCTCTTGTGCCGTGCCGGCCTTCATAGGTGCTACTCGCTAACAGCACTTGCCCCAACAGCCTGTTAAGGCTACACGGGGGATCTTTGTCTTAGTCGTGTGTGTTAGTGCGATGTTTAACGCTAGTATAAATAAACGCTGCGTTATGGCTTGAGTCACGTGGTACGTATTGAAGTTCTAGAAGGGCCGGAGCAGCGACGGTGAGTGACGTAAATGATGATGATGATGATCATACAAGGGCTCAAAGATTTAGGGCTGGGATGGATGTTGATTTGGTTACGTTCGGCAGGATCAGCCGGAAGAGAGAGAGATAGTTCTAAATCGCTGTTCTGAATCTCGCGCTAAAGACTGATTACGCACAGTACGATCCCCATCAGCAGCGGACCGAGTAATTTGCCTCCCGTGGAGTGTGACGCGAAAGCCGATATGAATCTGGCAGAATCCGCTCAGGGCAATTCAAATACATAGACATGAAGACAAAGATCCCCGAATAGCCTTTAACATACTGTTGGGGCAAGTGCTGTTCGCGAGCACCTTTTTATATGAAGGCCGGTACGGTGTAAGAGTGGGTTGGGTGACCAGCACCACGCCGGACCGCCTTTGTCTCCCCAGTGCCGGTTTGTGCACTTTGCAAACCTGCTCCTCATTCAGCCATCGAAGGGCCCTGGACCGATCTCGGATTGCCAGCTGCACAGAGCGTGCAGCGCTAACCACTGCACCACCGCTCCTTACCTTACGCGTGTGTGTGTACAGTACACACACACACTGATTTCTTTGGCCGAAACGTCCCCCTATTAGATATATATATGTTTTGTTCCTTTTAAGGCTACAGTGTTATTGACTAACGCGTCGAGCGTTGTTAATTATTAATGCTAATGTCCAGCTCCTGTGTCAATCCTCGGCTTGGATGGAGGCTTCCCCACGCCTTGTTTGTGGCCACGGGGGCTTGAATGTCCATACTTCACCACTGTGCTGTTGCGTTAGGGGGGGGTAAGAGAGGGGGGTAGAGAGGGGGGGGGTAGAGGACGACTGCTCACTATGCGCCCAGCCCCCCAACGCGAACGCGCGGCACAGAATCGCAAAAGCCAAAAAACGGAGCCCCACGGGATGAACGCGGGCCGCGCGTGCGTGTCACCTGCGGCTCACCTGGTCACGGCGCGTGAGTCTCACATTTGCGGCTCACCTGGGCACGGCGCATTAGTCTCACCTTTGCGGCTCACCTGGCCACGGCGCGCATCCAGTGGCACTGCGCGATCACCTTGAATCTAACGCCCCCCTGAACCCTCTCCCTCGTGTCGAACTCAAGCTGACACGGACACCTGCTTCGGTGGATCTGCACCGCACCGCCGGTGTTGCTCACGCACAATGCGGTCCGTGCGCTCTCGTACCAGCTCACGCCCGGCCGCCTTTGTCTCCCCAGTCCGTGCTGTTGGCAGTGCCATCGCGCGCGAGCGGTTTTGTGCGCGCCGTGACAAACCCCTAATAGGTGCTCGCAAACAACAGCAGCAGCAGGGATGTTTTCAAGGTGGCTGTTGTGCTTATAAGTGGCGCTCATGTTAATGAATGGCTGTGTTGTGTGTCTCTCTCTCTCTCCCCGCGTCTCCCTCCCCTCTATCACCCCCCCCCTCTACCCCCCCCTCTCTCTCATCCCCTCTCGCTATCTGCGAGAATCGCCTCTCGTGTCCCCACTCATGACTCCCCTCCTCCCTCCATCCTGCAATCTTCATTTCTGCCCATCGTCTCATACACCTTCCTCCTCACGCCGGACTCTCCTCCTCCCCCCACCTCCACCCCCCTCCTCCCACCTCTACCTCCACCACCGCTATCCATGCCCGCTATAATTTCGTTCTGACGTTATCCGTGCGTTTGTCCGTCCGATTGTTTTTGTTTCTCTCTGTCTCCCCGATCTGCATCCACGCGCGTGTTTCCACGTGCGTTTGGTTGCGTCCTTTGCATGTGTATCCCTGACACACACGTGCGTGACTCAACACACGTCGTCTTTCTGTCTGCCCTGTGTCCACTGTCTGTCTGTGTCTCTGTCCGTCTCTTTCTTCCCTCCACTGTTCCGTGATGTCTCTCTCTCCTCCCCGCGCTTCGCCTCCTCCCCGTCGGCTCCCAACTCTTCCCCACGCGTCGATCTGCCGACTTTCCCTCTTCCTTATCTGCCTCCTCCTCTTCCTCGTCCCTCGCTGGCTGTCTCTCTCTCTCTCTCCCATCCTCACGTCTCTTTCTCGCTCCGTGTATCATCGATACGTGTACCGCCTTCCATCTCTCTCATCGCGTCTCCGTATCTATTTCTACTCCCCCCGCCCCTCTCCTTCCATCATCTCACCATCTCTCTCCTATCTCTCTGCGTCTCTCCGTCTCGCCCCTCGGGCCCCCTCTCTACCCCCCGCCCCCACCTCACCTCCCTCACCAATTTCACTTCCTCCGTCCATCTCTTCGTCTCTCTCCTCTGTATCTCCCCCCCCCTCCCTCCCCGTCTCCCCCCCGCCCCCTCGCCTCCAACTCTCACCTGTCGCTGCCTCAAGAGAAGCGGCTGGCGTCCGTGTGCGTTGGCTGCGGCGCCCAGATCCGCGACCCCTTCATCCTGCGCGTGTCGCCCGACCTCGAGTGGCACGCCTCGTGCCTCAAGTGCGCCGAGTGCGCGCAGTACCTGGACGAGACGTGCACATGCTTCGTGCGCGACGGCAAGACCTACTGCAAGCGGGACTACGTCAGGTGCGTGCACGGTGCTGTGTGTGTGTGCACGTGGTGTGTGTGTGTGCACGTGGTGTGTGTGTGTGCACGTGGTGTGTGTCTGTGTGTGTGCACGTGGTGTGTGTGTCTGTGTGTGTGTCTGTGCACGTGCTGTGTGTGTGTGTGTGTGCACGTGGTGTGTGTGTCTGTGCACGTGGTCTGTGTGTGTGTGTCTGTGTGTGTGTGTGTGCACGTGGTGTGTGTCTGTGTGTGTGTCTGTGTGTGTGTGTCTGTGTGTGTGTCTGTGTGTGTCTGTGTGTGTCTGTGTGTGTGTCTGTGCACGTGGTGTGTGTCTGTGTGTGCACGTGGTGTGTGTGTCTGTGCGTGCACGTGGTGTGTGTGTCTATGCGCTACGCTGTGCTACGAACCTGGCGACCCGGGTTCGATTCCCACTCACGGCCAACACCGGTGACGATTATCTGTACAAGGTCTGGGCATCCTCCCCTAGGTCGACTCAGTCTCAGGCGGTCGGGCGTGGTGCTGGCCACCCACCCCCTCGTGTACCGTTCCGGCCTTCATAGGTGCTCGCTAACAGCACTTGCCCCAACAGCCTGTTACAGGCTACAGGGGGGATCTTTGTCTTTGTGTGTTCTCCAGAGACTCTGTGGGTGGGGTGGGGTGAGTGGGCGGTTGCCCCCGGGGTATCCCCTCCCAAGGTGGTGGGGGCGACGGGGGGAGGAGGGGGGGGGGCACCGCTGGAGTTGGTAACCGGGCGGGAATGGTCAGACAATGAAGCGAGCGATGACTGCTGGTGGCTCGTGCGTCGTGCTGGTGGGGGGTGGTGGTGACACACCATCGCACTACAGCTCCACCTCAAACTGCTCCTCCGACTCAAACACCACTTACCCCCCCCCTCAACTCTCCCTTTATTATCACCTCCCCCACACCGGTTTAACCCACCTTCCCACCACCATGTGGAGTTCAATATCGGTGACGATTCACGGAACCGATCCTGGGCCTCCCCCTTTAAAGTGAGTACCTGGTGCGGTGTGTAAACATCGCCACTGGGGAGACAAAGGCGGCCGGGCGTGGTGTTAGCCAACCGCCCCCTCGTGTGCCGGCCTTCATAGGTGCTACTCGCTAACAGCACTTGCCCCAACAGTCTGTTGAGGCTATACGGGGGATCTTTGTCTGTGTGTGGCATGAGCAAGCAATGGCAGGCCTGCATCTTTACCTTCGCGGAATTAAAATTTCCAAATTACACGTCACGTGTCCGGCGTGTTACCTGTGGATAATTACCGACATTAGCGCTCATTTGCATTACACGGCTGCGGCCTTTCGACGAGACGTTTATAATGTGACCGCGTGTTAATTAGATATAGATGTCAATTAGATATACGGTGCTAGTGTGTGTGTGCGTGCGCGTGCGTGCAAGAGTGGGGAGCAGTGGAACTTGAAGCTACCCCAACCCCACGTGCCTCCCCCACCTCTGTCCACCCAGCGGTTTGAGTGGGTTCGCAACAGCCGATCGAACGGCCGGTCACGTGTGGTGGGGTAAACTTGTGGGTAAGGCCCACGTCTTCCGAGGCGTCTGGCAGGCGTGGAAGAGTAGACCAAGTGATATCCCTCGAGTGCCTCTCTTTTATAGCCACCTCCCCATCTATTGGGAGGCCCTTTTGACGCGATGTGTCGAACCCCAGTCGACTGCTGCCAACGACTTTAAACTAAACTAAAAACTAAACTATTTTTAAATCCTTTATATTAAGTTCGCGTGCTTGCGTGCTTGCTTGCTTGCTTAGGACCGTGCAAATCTTTCGGTCGTTTTTTAACCCACTTCCCGTGATCCGATCGAGCTGACATTTTGCACACAGACTCGTTGTGCGTGACAATTAATGTTCGTGAAAAATTTGTTCCAAAATTTTACACTTTTTATGGAATTTTTTTAAATATTTAATTACCAATTGCTTAATGGTACAGGCAATAATCTGACCCATAGGTGGCAGCCATCTCAAGCCAGAGGACGAGAGGACTCTAGCCACCACGCATATAAAGGATTTATAGTGATAAACTTTGTTTTTACGGGTTAATTTTTTTTATTTTAACAGGTAAGGAGGCCCCACTGAGCCATATAGATATTTTTCAGAAGCGGCCTCGCCATCACAAATTACAGCTCAGCGAAGTGACTTATCATCACGTGGGGATTCGTAGCAGCCAAATATTCGAAACGCGTGATGTCGATTCTAAACGTGGAGGGAAAAACACGAGGACCCGTATACAAAATCCACGCGACTACGGAGAGAGAGAGAGAGACATCGCAAACTCCAAATATACAGCAGCAGGCGTCAGGGTTGGGTTCGAACACACGACCTCCTGTATACCAGGCGAGGTAGTTAACATCTCAACACCGTGACTTCACGGGACCTGTCACGTCCACCGTCAAGCAGACAGCGGAGTAACATTATTATTATTCCGCTTATCACACCGGCAGTATTAATCAGGGCGGCCGAGTGGATTCGAACCGTGAATTCAAGCGAAAGGGGGCGAACCACCCTACCGGCTCGGCCTTGTCCATACGCGGGTCCCGTTTACAACTTTGACAACGGCGCCGCGTTGTCGCTGGCGACACGGCGTCCTGCCCCTTGGCGTCCGTGCCGCGCGATCCATCGTGGGTCACGTGGCGTACTTGAACCCACGTGGGGGTGGGGGGTGGTGATGGCTGCCCGCCCGGGGGATTCACCGCCATGATCGCCGTTGTGACGTCACGAACCACGTGGAGCAGCAGGAGCGTCGATGCCACCTGGCGGAGCCTCTGTCTCTGACCTCGTCCTCGTCTACTTCCACATCCTCTTTCCTCTCATTCCTCGTTATTTATCATCTTCTTATTCGTCATCCTCTCTCGTCCCTCTCCCGTTCCTTTCTCTTTTTAAATCGTTTATATTAAGTTCACCTGTTTGCTCGCTTGCTCGCGCGCTTACGACCGTGCAAATCTTTCGGTCGTTTTTTAACCCACTTCCCGTGATCCAATCGAGCTGACATTTTGCACACAGACTCGTTGTGCGTGACAATTTATTTTCGTGAAAATTTTTTCTCCAAAATTTTCCACTTTTTAGGAAAGAAAAAATTCATATTTAATTTAAAATACCAATGTGATAAAAATGAAACTCTTACTCAAGAAAAACAGAAATGAATAATAAAATAAAACCGATGCCACGCATATAAAGGATTTATAGTGAAAAACTTTGTTTTTTACGGGTTAATTTTTCCCCCGTTCGATGGCGTCCGTGACTCTCCCTCCCTACCTCCCCCTCTCCACGTGGGTGCTGTCCGCGGGTGCGGAGTTGCCGAGATTTGATTGGTTAGCGGCGTTTTGGGTTTCGTCTCGGGGCGTGCGCGCGCGCTCTGAGCGCGACAGAGCCCCTGGCCTCTTAACGCCGAGCGAACTGCGGTCGAAGGACGTGGTACATTAAACCGTTGTACGGCAAAGCACCAACAACAAAACATAGAGAATACAATTGTGGATTGAATTGATATCGCAAAGAAAAAAAATCGTCATCGTTAAAAATCTCGAGAAATGTTATCGCGACAACACTATGACACGTGTGTAATATATATATACAGTATACACATGCATATACTGTATATGCATGTACACACACATCTACAATATATATCCGTGTAGCGTTTAGCAAGGCTGTCGGGACAGCACACAGGGGTGGGTTGCCAACGCCACGGCCGGCCGCCTTTGTCTCCCCAGTGGTAATGTTTACACACCGCACCATGTGCTCATTTAAGGCTGAATAAACCTAGGAGATGCCACCTATTTTGGAATCGAACATGAGGCTCCCGGTTCGTAGCGCAGTTAACCACTAGACTCCTACACATATATATACAGTATATACACACACAAGATCCCCCGTATAGCCTTAACAGGCTGTTGGGGCAAGTGCTGTTAGCGAGCACCTATGAAGGCCGGCACGGCACACGAGGGGGGTGGGTGGCCAGCACCACGCCCGGCCGCTTTTGTCTCCCCAGTGGCGATGCTTACACACCGCATCAGGTATACATTTGAGGCTTAGTCGACTTAGGGGAGGCCCAGGACCGGTTCTGATAATCGTCACTGGTGTTTGCCGTGAGCGGGAATCGAACCCGGGTCGCCAGGTTCGTAGCGCAGCGTAGCGCTAACCGTTGCACCACCGCTCCCCACACAAACACATTCACATTCATCGCGTACTGTACATATATATTGCATAGTCTGTATTATTACCATGCACATATACACACAATATGTAATACACATAAATGCATATAAAATATGCACAATGCATATGTATACATAATGACCGACCGATACATTATTAAGCATGTACACAACACGCGTTCCTGTTGCATGTAAGTACGTTGAACTTCGTTCGCACCGTACGTAGCCAACCGTTGCCGATCGTAGGTGCGGACATGAAAAAATATGATACACATACATTAGGGGTCGTCCATAAATGACGTCACGCACCTAGGGGGGGCGGGGGGTGAGTCAGACATTTGTGACGATGTGTGACGAGGGAGGTTTGAGAAATGTGACATCACATCAAAATGCGCAACTTTAAATAAATATAGACGACACGTTCTACTTAATTAAATAGACTTAATAATAAATGTTTTTTCCTACAACATCAGAGTGCAGCGGCACATTAAATACGCACTACAATGACAATAGTTTAAAGCGATTTGAAGCATGTTTTATTTTTTTTGGGGAGGGGTCTGACTTTTTGTGACGCCGTGTGACGAGGGGGGGGGTCAAAAATCGTCCAAAATCACGTGACGTCATTTATGGACGGCCCCTTCATAGTACTGCACGTAAATATGCGCATACATACACAGTACGTAATACGTGCACGCGTACGCACCGCAAACGTTGCACACAGTTGGTAGATGCGTACTTGTGTAGTGTCCATTCATGCGCGTGCGTTCACGTGCACACGCAACGCTCCACACCGCACGCGTCTGTCGGAGCGAGTGCAGTTGGCGAGCACCTACTAGCTACTACA